TTGATGAAAGGGTGCGTCCTCAGGAGGTGAGCAGTGCACATAAGTGTATTGTGGTTGACAGAGTGATTGATTGTTCTGTATTGCAGCTGACAGACACATGAGAAGATATGCCGGTGGTGTGTCTCTGCCGTTCCCTCAGTTGTTGCTCTGCTGCCGACGGATGGGCCTGCAGCTCTGTAAATCTGACCACTGTGACATAATATTAACCTAATTTACTGTGTCAAACCACTTTACAGCTCTCCCTCGAGACTGTGGTTGGTCTGCAGCCCTGCTAACAGGAGGCTCTTTGGGTAGAGTAGTATTGAAAACAATCGGTTGGACATCTTAAGTGTTATGGCTTTATTAGTATAGTCGCAGAGATTGCTTGGGCTGGTCCCTGTCCTTGTTTCCCAAGTGAAGGGTAAATTTGTGCTTCCTCATGACGAGGAATGTCAGAAAGATTTCCCTCAGGCGTCGGATGTGCGATGCGTCAGCTTTTGTCCTTGACTTTCTGAACGTCTTTTTTTCTCCAGAATATCCTTGCCTTAAGAATTAACATTTCACCCGAAGGAGAAGAAGAGCTTTTTTTTTTACACCATGGTTCGTTGGAGGCAGTTCTGACTAATGTGAAAGCTAGCGTCCTGGATGGTTTGTAGGCGTAAGCCTATTGTATAGTAGTGAACTTGAAGTTCAGGGAATATTAAAGGCTGGGTTCTGGTGCCAGCAGGCAAAGAGACGCACAAAACCAGTGTACCTATGGAGCAGAAAATGTGAGGAGAGAGGTGCTGCTTAGTCCGAGGATTTAAATACGTCTGAAGACTGTACTGTTCCCGGAACATCTTTGGGATAATATACACTGTCTTGCACAGCAGTAAATGGGGACTAGGTCAGGATATCCACAGACCAGAGCTTGTTTGAAGTGTGCCGTAATGTCAGCCGAGAGATAATCCCACTTCCGCAGTCCTGAGGCTGTAGATAATGGGTTCTGTTTACTGGTTGGGAACAGTAGAGACCAAACTGAAAACTTTTTAACAAGGTTACACACATTGTATGCCTCTCAAAAAGAACAGCATTCTATGACACCAACTTATAAATATTTTGCTGCAAAGCCACATTTGTTGTTTCTTAAACGGCTTATGAATGACAGGTTCTGGAGAGCAATACTCTCTTGAGAGGAATGCACTCATTGACTTAATAGTGTGAACGCAGACTTTTTTTCTTTCTTTAATCCTATAGCCTGTCTGTTACACTCCCTCCTACTCTTTATTTACATGTATACCTGAACAGCAGGATCCTCTTAACTCCCAGCAGGTGGTGTTTAGAAGGACCTGAAACGCACGCAGCAGTCTGTATATAAATTACAGCTTTGCACTACTGAACATGGATCTTCAAGGTACTGTTATGGAAAGCGTATGCTTTTGCCCAGCCCATAGAAAAAACAGAAAACC